GAATTGTGGACTTCTATGAAAGCCAATAGAGAGAAGTACTTATGAATAATGCAGATTCAACACTTGAATAACAGGCCTCATCTTTCTCAATATTATGCAGGCATTCAGAAACTCTTGTTTCCTCAGAGGGGCTAAAATGGATGTTTAACCACTACTGGATTTTCACAATATGTCATGCAGTAACATTCCAGACATTCATCAATTCCAAAAACATCCACTTCACTTGGCGACCCTTGGATTTGGGAACTCTTAGATTATTTTTTATTTCAAGAGGCAAAGGTATGGGGAATTGATCTTCACATTATTTTCTTGAGAGGATGTGATTTAGTTCTGAAGTTTCAGGGGGCCAGAAAATACAGATGGATACCATCAGGCGGCATCCCAAAAAGACAGAACGACCATCATTGTTCCCTGTGGGAGAGTGACAAGAAGATCCAGCGCTGTGGCTTTCTTGGCCAATGAAGGTGATTGCTGTGACTTTTGTGCATCTGTCAAAGTCACCAAATATAGCTGCGTTCACTATCCTAATATCAATGTAAGCCTTTTTTCTCTTTAATGCAAAGTAATTACCTCTGTGAACATTCATCCTCAATTTTAAAGAACTGCTTCTTCAAGCTTATTGTTATTGTTATTGTTATTATCACAGGATATACACAAAGTTATTACCATAGGGAATATTTAAATTTGCTTTTAGCTATTGGAATGATCTCACAGAAGGGAGGTGTAGAAAACATATTACCACAGCAAGCTTGAGCAATTTTTTGGGTCCACACCAACTACATCAGCGGTTCCTAACCTGTGGTCTGTGGATCACCAGTGGTCCCCAAGGACTAAAATATGGTTCACTGCCTCACCATTACTACACCATTGCAACAAGAGCGACTGGTCTGCAAAACCCTCTTATAGTGCTGAGGCAACAGGGATGGCAGGAGTGGGGAGGCTGACTACTCACGAAAGGCATGACAACAAACCTCCTGACTGCTACCTCTCCTCCTCCTCCTCCCTCCCTGAGTGGAGCCATTCCGTGTGAAGTAGGGGTGCCTTGGTGTCTTCATTTTTAGGCCTGTTCCTGGGGTAATTTGGGATGTTGATTCAGAAAATTGCATTGGATAGACCACATCTACTCTAGAATATAGCTTTCTGTGGTTTTTGGTGACTAATGGATGGCATATATTTAGTATCAGAAACTAGAGTTGATGTCCAATGCAATTTTTTGAATCAGCACCCCAAATAACCAAATCACATCTAAAGTTGACCAAAAACTGATCTGTAACCCTTTTGGTACTAACGTTGGATAGTGGTCCCTGGTCAAAGTGGTCCCTGGGAACCACTGAACTACATAAAGACCTCCATTTGTACCTTGTGGTCTGATCAGAAAATCAATAAACCAGTTTGTTGTCCAAAATCTTGGGGTCTGTTCCTGGCATGCCAGCTCCAATGTTTCGCAATCAAGACACATAGAGATGACAGTGGAATCAGAGGTTTATTGCCTCGTTAATCAAGGAAGGATGTAAAGGGGAGAATTTCCCAGATCTGACCTGTCCTCAGTTTGTAGACAACAGTCTTTTATACACATATAAGAAGAGACGTCATTCTAACTGGTGCAAATTACAATCTGGTGTCTTATTGGTTGAAAGTACATTCATTCCTATCATGTTTAGTTTGTGATTGGTGTACAGTATGTTGGGAAACTTACTAAAGCTTCTTATTGGAAAAATCTGGAGCCTATCTTCTGTATCCGTGCTGGCCCCATTTCCACCCACAGTGTCTTATTAGAACAGAAAGTGATAACTTTAGCACAAATACTGATTGCTGATTGATATTGGGGCTAGGATGGCAGGGTTCCTTGACTAAACAACGGATAGCCATCCTGGGATGATGGGATCAGAATTATTTTAGAAAAGACTGTATTGTGTCACTGTGAGATTGGAATGTTTCCAGAAGATATACCTGCATTTTTACCTCAGTTATTTATTCAGGGATGAGGCTAAAGACAAAATTCTGGTATCTTGTGCCCATTATGTGGAAGTTGGGGGGGGGGGGTTACCTACATTCTTGCATTGACAACTTAACTGTGGGTAAAATTGCTCAGAGAGATTCTTGTGTCCTTAAACAAAGATGGACTACCATCCTGGGCAGCACGCAGATTGGCTTTCATCCTAGCAGAAGACAAATCGAGAAGATACGATTCAGCAATTTAAACCATTTCACATGCCAAGAAACAGATGTTGTATCGATAAGACTGTAGGGAATGTGCAATCAGCAACAAAATAGCAAGGTGGCAACAAATTGGGGGGAATTTGCCCTCAGTTCTTTGGAGAACAGGGAGCATAGATAAATTTTAGCAACATTTTACATCTCAAATTGGGTTGGGAATCTTGGGAGTCTTCCAGATTTTTATTCTGCACCATTGACTGTGCTGGACAAGACTACTGGGAGCGACAGTCCAACAACATCTGAAGGGTACAAGCCTCATTCCTATACTGGATACATATTATTTGTAGTCAAGAGGATACATATCAGATTAAGGAATTGTGGGAGTCGAAGTCCAAAACAACTGGAGAGCCGAAGTTTGCTTATGCCTGGGCTATATGTATCAGGGGTATATGAAAGATAAATTAATGTTTGAGCCCCATCTCAATGATATCTCATTATATACATATATGAAAATACAGGTATTCCAAAAAATTTTTAAAGCCCAAAGACAAAACACTTCTGATTCCACAGATTTATAATAAGGAGTGTTACTCCATCAATAATAGATGAAAAGCCCTCCTTCAAGCCTTTTATTGAACAGAATGGGACTGCAGGGGGATGGGATTAATGAAAGAGGGACGTAATTTAGTAGTCTTTAGGAATCTGCCACATCGCTGCTTATTTATCTGTGATGCTGTGATTCCCAGGAGGAGAGGGTACAGCTGCTGCCGCCATAAGGCTACGCTACACAACCTAGATAAACAGAATGAAAAGTGGCCTGTCCAAAACTTAAAACAAATATGTTTGCAATCCCAAGGCTTGCCTACAGAAAACACAGCTCCCTCCTTGAATCACTTTTTAATGAGTGCAGAACCATCTTTGGTCTTATTAGATGATATATAGTATGTTATTTGTGTTTTTCAGCTAAACTAAAACAACTCAGGATCCCCGTTTTCAAGTGAGTCCATTCTCTGACAGCATGTTGTTCTCTAATCCACCAGGAGGGAAATGGGGTGTCCTATAATCCAGTGTTTCCCAACTTGTGGTCCATGGACCACCAATGGTCCACAAGGACACAGATATGGTCTGTGGCCTCACCATTAGTACACCGTTGCCTCGAAACCATGCAACAAGCACAACTGGTCGCGCGAAACCCTCTTATAGCGTCTAGGCAACAGAAATGTCAGGAGAGGGGCTGTCTACACACAAAATATTATTACTACATCAGCTCTAGATGATTAAATATGGTTTTCTGTGGGCGAGCAGATGGCGACTACTGGATGGCATATGTTCTGTATCAGAAACTAAAGCTGATGTGGTCTATCCAATGCAATAAAACAACCAAACCAAATCTAAAGTTGACCAAAAAATGATTTATAACCCTTTTGGTACTAATGTTGGAGAGTGGTCCCTGGTCAAAAAAAGGTTGGGAACCACTGCTATAGACAAAGTACAACTTGGTGCTTTTCCTGCATGGCAGAGGGTTGGATTAGATATGTGGTCTCTTCCAACTCTATTATTCTATGATTCTCTAGTCCCTTCCTCTATTTTCTTATAAAGCCAGGTTTAGGCACAGAGTCTGGTCTACCATCAGATGTTGCCAAAAGAGAATGACAAAAGATAGCATCTACACCAGGCATGGGGAAACTTCAGTCCTCCAGGTGTTTGGGACTTCAGCTCTTACAATTCCTAACAGCTGTTAGGAACTGTGGGAGCTAAAGTCCAAAACCCCTCGGGGGCCAAAGTTTGCCCATGACTGATCTACATTGTAGAATGAACGCAGTTTGACATTACTTCAACTGCCCTGGCTCAATCCTGTGGAACCCTACCAAAGAGTGCTGAGGCCTCCCCAAACTACAAATCCCTGGATTCCATGTCATTGAGCCATGGCAGTTTGTTGTTGCTTATTCGTTCAGTCGTTTCTGATTCTTTGTGACCTCATGGACCAGCCCACACCAGAACTCCCTGTCAGCTGTCACCACCCCCAGCTCCTTCAAGGTCAAGCCAGTCACTTCAAGGATACCATCCATCCATCTTGCCCTTGGTCATCTATTTTCCTTCCATTTTCTCCAGCATCTTCTCCAATCTTTCCTCTGTGTCTGGTTTTACTATGCTGTTTTATATTGTAAATTTTGTTGTGTTATATTTTGTTATGATGTATTTTGTTATTGTGTGTTGTATTATTTTGGGTTTGGCCTCATGTTAGCTGGGCCGAGTTCCCTTTGGGGAGATGTTGGCGGGTTATAAATAAAGTTCTTCTTCTTCCTCTTCTTCCCTGTCTTCTCATTATGTGACCAAAGTACTTCATCTTTGCCTCTAATATTCTTCTCTCTAGTGGGCAGCCGGGCATTACTTCCTGGAGGATGGACTGGTTGGATCTTCTTGTGAGCCAAGGCACTCTCAGAATGCCATGGCAGTCGAAGTGCTGTTCAACTTCGTTAATCCTACAGTGCGCATGCGCCCAGCACCTCGCTGCTCCGCCTTCCTGTTGTGAATCTCAGGAGACGGAGAGCGAAGGGCCTCGCGCGCCCCCTGCCGCCCGCCTCCGCCCTGGCTCCGCCCACTTCCTCTGAAGCGACGAGCAGGCTCTTTCCAGCTTCGCTCCTAACCGTTAGTTGGCCGGAGAGAGGAAGCAGCCATCTTTATTCCGGGAAAAGACGACTTCTCTATTGCTTTAAGTAAAAGAAGCCATTCATTAAATTACTAATAGTTTTACAAGAGGGGAGGGACGGGGATTCGGCGGTGACTTCCTCAGGTACCTAGGTTGGGGGCGGAGGGGGGCACTGAAGGCATGAGGATCAGTGGCGGTCCGCCTTCCCCGTTGCCCTCACTCAACATGTCCGCGCGAGGGAGGCGAAGGCCGCAGAATCTCTCAGAGCCGAGGCCGCGTCGCTGGCGCAAAATGGCCGCCGAGGGCAGGAGGTGGCGCTCTAGCGCGGCGCCTCTATGGCAGGGAGCACGCTTGCGGCTGGAGCGGAGCGTCGCTGAGTCCGGGCCTGGAGGCGAGGCGGGCAAAGGGGCCAGGAGCGAGCAGGAAGGCGGCGGCGGCGGCCTCTGCAGGGAAACGGGTGCCGCTTCGGCCAGCTCTGGGGCTCCTCCTCCTCCTCCTCTCCTAACGTGCCCTCCCCCTCAGGCCCCCCTTCCTTCACGGCAGCCCCGTGGCTTCGCTCTCCTCCCTCTATTTCGGGGTCCCCCTCACTGCCACTTCCTTCTCTTTCCTTTTCCCGTCATTTATAGATTCTGTATCCACCTTTGCTGAGAGGGCCTCATCCTGTACATACACGGGCCTTTCCCTCAGAGTTCTCTGAGGAAATCCCTGTCGCCCTCAAGGCCCCTCTCCTTCCTGTCTGCTCACCCTGTGGCCCATTTCTCCTGCACATTCAAATAGGCAGAGTTCTCTGAGGAGATCCTCACAGTCCTCACTCCTCTGCCCCATTCCCTCTTCTGCAGCAGGGGATGCCCTTCCCCTGTGTTGTTATTACTCCTGCTTTTTTCTACTCTCTGCCTTGACTCTCTGCAAAGTGACTCTATTTCCTGGTGCTAGTTCTTGCCTCACCTGAAGCCCCCTCTCTGGCACTTTCCCTGCCTCTGGTGGACAATTCTTCCTTCAGCTGAGTCTTGTTTTCCCCTCCACTCTCCCCTCCACTCCCTTGTAGGCGAACAGGTTTCATTGCCTTCTTTCATTGTTTCTCCTTCCCACTCTTTGCTGCAGGTCTAATTGAGGTGTAACTCCTTCCTTTTGATCTTGGTTTGGACAGCAATATCGAGAAATAAGTTTCTCCTTTCCCCTTCTGCTATCAGACTTTATACCCAGCTTTTTTCCTCTTCCCCCTTTATTAGTCCTTTTGAAGTAAACAGACTTCATGTTCGCTTTTCCCAGAGGCAGCATGTGAAGGGCTAATTCTAAGATGACTTTCAATGCACTCATTTTAACACCCGATGTTTAAAATAGTGTGTTTTGATTGTTGCTGTGAACTGGGTTGCGAGAAGGAAAAGTCTTTTGGCAAGCGTCTCTGCTCCCGGTTTCCATCTCTGAAAGGGTGGTAGTACTCTTAGGAGAGGCTAAAGAGGAGGATGCCAAGGAAATTGCTGTTGCCTTATAGATCTGTCTTTTCTCACTCTCGAGTCCCAAGGGGTTTGCATGATTCCTTGGCAATGAATGCGGCCAGAAGTGGCTACCGGGTCTTCTCGGCAAACTCCACGGCAGCCTGCACGGAGCTGGCAAAGAGGATCACAGAGTAAGTGTTCCACGTTTTTCAATTGCTCCCCTGATCTCCTGTATTTGTAAGCTTTATCGGTGGGATGTGTGAAGGAAAAAATAAACAGTGTTTGCTGAACTAGATATGGCAATGAGAAGTTTTTATGCCAATGGCAAAAAATCTTGAGATTACCTTAATCCAAGGTTAAATTACTTAATTAAGCTTGTGTAATTTATTTCATATCAGCTTAGTTCAAGAATGCATATCAAATGGAATAAGTACAGTCCTGAACATTTGAATCCCCAAAACACTGCAGATAACACATGTGAGGGTTCACATGTGTTATCTGCAGTGTTTTGGGGGTTCAAATGTTCAGGAATGTACTTATTTCCATTTGATAATTTCCTTCTAATTTTTGTGATAATTAGATTGAAATATTTTAAATTGACTCTCATTAGGCCTTATATGAGATAAGCATTTATTATGTTGTGGTGTTGTGCCCAGATTTATCAATTCAGTTATTGCAGTTGAGAACTCTTTACAAAGCAAATTGTGTTGTTTCATGAAAAGAAGCAATAACTTTCCTTATCACCTCTTTGATATAATATTTTCTTTGTAAATTGTTTGATCACACTCGGATACATTTTGTTATTTATTGCAGCAAGACTAAAGAATTTCATATTGAAATGTGTTAATTACTTTTTGTTTAGGGAGTCGCAGAATTTGACTTTTCATGGTAGGAAGCAAAAAAAAACTGGGTCACCTCATACTTACCTTTACCTTTCTTAAGGCCTCATCACACTTGAGTATTTTTCCACTTCAATCCACTTTAAATGCTGTGACTGCCTCCTGCAGAATTCTGGGCCTGGTAGTTTAGGGAGGCCCAGGGCTTCTCTGGATGAGCAGTTTAAAGGCCCTTCCCTAAACTACAAGCCCCAGAATTCTGCAGGAGGCAGTCACAGCATTTAAAGTGGATTGAGTGGGAAAATGCCCAAGTGTAATGAGACCCTTAGAGTCAATATAGCGTAAATGTAGAGATTCATAGCATCTTGTCTCACTTGGTATTCTAAAGGGGCATCCAGGTGGCGGACTTCTAAAAAGCACAAATTGTGCATGTATCCTATCCTCATAATTTTTCTGGGAAGAAAACAGGTGGAAAAATGATGGAAGAACACAAGAGAATTACAAATGTGAAATGCTGTTGTCTGGCTTCTTGATAAAATTTCATATTGGTGGCATGATACTGCAAGATATAAAAGGCCAGTTTGTGCCTGAAGTTCTGGAGGTATTTAGAAAGTATTACTACATTGGAGTGTTTCTGAAGTTTTGGAGGCCTATCAGGATAAACTTCAGTCCTGCTCTCCAGGTGTTTTTGAAATCTTGGATAAAATAAGTGCTGATGTGCTATCTGCATCTGGTTGTCGATTAGGACAAGCATCACAAATGCATTTGATAGAGTAAATGATATGTATAAAAGGCAATCTTTGAATTTGTGATATATCAGAATAGACAGAAACAAAATACGTTTTTTATTTCTCTCAATTTCTTTTAAAAGTCCCTGAAGGTCACATGAGTCTTTCTAATAAACAGACTATTTTTGAGCATCTTTATTCCCCACTAACTTATGGACCCGGTTGGTGACTTGGATGAGTCATGCACTCTCAGACCCAGAAAATCCCACCTTAGGGTTTCCATAAATCAAAATAGACTTGATGGAACTCAACAACAGCAGTCCAGTCTAATAATAATACCAATAATCTTCATTTGTATACCACCCTATCTCCCTGAAGGGACTCAGGGAGGTTTCCAACATATAAGACAAACATTCAGTTGCAAAAAAGAAAACTATATAGACAAATATTAGGAACTCTCTCCAAGATATGAAATAACCCATAACTTTATTCTGTGTGGAATGTGGCACTTTCATTGCCATTAATGACATACTGGATATGGGACATAAGACACAGTAAGAATATTAAATAACAACATTAAAAATAAATAGTGAATTGAAATGAAGCTACTAGAGCTTTTGGGAGGGGGCGCAGTCTCTGCTATAAAATATATTAAGGATCCCAAATCTGAACTAATATTTTCAGAATGTGAAAAGGGGTAACAGAGGCTAAAGATTCAAAACATTTTAATAGATTTTAAATGAATATGTTGGCAGGATCAGATAATACTTCAAGAGTACTTAAAGAACTAAAATGTGAAATGATGACTGTTTAACCCCTGAGGCAAAACAAAATGCAGCAAGGTTAAAAGAATCTCCTTGCCACAAAAACTTATTTAAATTTGATTTGTTTTAGCATATGTTTTAAAATAGAAATCAGAGACCTCCCATGAACTACCTTTTGGGCCATTTTTCACTTAACTTCACTTTATTTCTTAATTAGTCGCTCTCCACCAAGGTGCTCCGAGCGACTTAAAATTTAAAATAGCATTTCACAATATAAAAACATTCAACATAAAAATATTCAACAGTGACTATTTGGCAAATTAGATCTGATTACTTAAATGCACAACCAAACAGCCAAGTCTTGAGCGCTTTTACAAAAGGTTGCACTCCGACATTGCTCTAACATATGGAGGCAATGAGTTCCACAGAATTGGAGCATAGATCAAAGAAGCTCTACGCCTTGTAGTTTCCAGGTGTACCTCCCTAGGGCCCGGTATGTATAGGAGATTTTCCTGGGTGGATCGAGGTGACCACTGATGGAAAAAGGAATTAGGCGATCCCTAAGATATAAAGGTCCTTGGCCATTTTGAGCTCTAAATGTCAGGATCAGTATCTTGTAAGAGATCTGATGTTCTATTGGTAGCCAATGCAGTTGTTGCAGAATCGGTGTAATATGGGATCTTATAGATGATCCTGCTAGCAGCCTGGCTGCCGCATTTTGGACCATCCGAATCTTCTGGATTGTTGACTTCAGAAGGCTGGCATGCAAGGTGTTGCAATAGTCCAACCTAGTGGTGACTGTTGCGTTGATTACCGTTGCCAATGCTTCTACCAAAATATAGGATGCCAATTTCCTTGCCTGGCGAAGATGAAAAAAGGCCTGCTTACTTATGGCAGTGATCTGGGCCTCCATCATCAGCATTAAGTCCAACACAACCCCAAGGCTTTTAACACTGGCAGACGGAACCAGAACTTCCCCATCGAAATCAGGCAGAGACTGGATTAATTCTGGCGGCAGGCCGGGCCAGAGTATCTCAGTTTTTGCAGGATTCACTTTTAGTCTGCTCACTTGCAGTCAACTAATCACTGCTTCCAAACACAGCTTAAAGTTCTCAGGTTCGAGACGCAAGAGTAGCTGGGTATCATCTGCATACTGGTAGCACTCTATGCCAAAGCTCCGCACCGGTCCAGCAAGTGGTCGGACGTAGATGTTAAATAACAGGGGCGAAAGGATAATACCCTGGGGAACTCCACAGCAAAGGCAGGAGCTCTCAGAGCTTTGGCCTAACCACTCCACCCTCTGTCTCCGGTCCCGAACGAATTGAACCATTTAAGGGCTAAACCTTGTACACCAGACATAGCCAATCGAATCAGCAAGTCATGGTCCACGGTGTCGAATGCAGCTGTGAGGTCCAAGAGTACCAATAGCGCTGATCCGTCTCGGTCTAACTGACGACGATTTTCGTCAGTAATAGCTACTGGGACAGTCTCTGTCCCATGACCTGAACGAAAGCCTGATTGAAAGGGGTCCAAACCCGCAGTCTCATCTAAGAATTGCTGTAGCTGCTCCGCCACTGTCTGTTCAATCACCTTGCCCAAAAACAAGGTTTGAAACTGGACGATAGTTATGATAGTATGGTGGCGTCTAGGCTTGGTTTTTTCAAGAGAGGGTGGACCACTGCTTCTTTAAGCAATCTGGAAAAATTCCTTGCTCCAAGGAGCTGTTGATGATGCTCCTTAAGGGATCTCGTAGTCTCTCCCAGCACTCCTTAACCAACCGGGAGGGGCAAGGATCGAGGGGGCAGGTAGTTGGTCTTGCTGCAGCTAGAGTCTTTTCCAGGTCTTCCATTTCTAATGGCACAAAATGTTTGAGAAGTTGGCCACTAGATTGCCAGAAGGCCCCGAGTTCCCTCGATGTGTCCTTTGTGGGAGGTAGCCCTTCGTGGAGCAGATTGATCCTATTTATAAAGTGGCTCTGGAAGGTCTCTGCTATAATATCTTGACTAGCCACATCTTTGGCCGGATGAGTTGGATTTGTGATGTTACAAACAATTTTAAATATTTGAGCAGGTCGAGATCTGGCGGAAGCTATCAATGAGGAATTATATTCTTTTTTGGCCTCTCTGGTGGCTGCTTCGTAGATTTTTCGATGTATTTCAAAAGCCAACTTCGATGTTTCATCAGGTTTCTTGCGCCATTTACGTTCTAATTTCTTCCGCTCAAGTTTCATCTGACGCAATGCATCCGTGAACCACGGAGATCTATTCCGGCGAGGGCGAAAAGCCCGATTAGGGACAACTATATCTAAGGCAGTTGATAGATTTTTGTTCCAGTTTTCCACTCGTTCACGTAGAGAATCAGCGGTGTAATCCAGTTCTTTAAGGACACTCAAAAGTCTAGTAGGATCCATCAGCTTCCTCGGCCCCACGAAAATTTGTTCAGTCACCGGATGCTGTGGTGGTGGAATCTCTATTTGGGTGTTCAGGATGTAGTGGTCAGACCAAGGAATCTCTAAGACGGAAGATAGAGTCACTTGTATTCCAGTACTAAAAATCAAGTCCAAGGAGTGCCCAGCTCGATGAGTAGGACCGGTCATCATTAATGGGAAACCTATTGTTTCCATAGATTGTACTAGGTCCCGTGCTATCGAAGAAGACATCAAACTTTCTGCATGTACATTGAAGTCTCCCAATATGATGAGACTTGGGAACTTAAGGGCCCAGTCCGCCAGAAGGTGTAATAACTTGGGGATGTTCTCGTTCGGGGCCCCAGGGGCCTGATAAACTAAGAGGATAGTCACATTTTTGGACCAAAAGGAAGGGTACCATTGCCTCTATAAATAATAAGTTATCATTTGTACACC